TAGGGTAAGATGATGCCTCTTACTTTATGTGATATTAAATACAATTATGTCTGCTTTATGTTTGTTAACCATTTCTAACTAAACATTTTCACTCTTATTTTCAGTGAAAATATTATTTTATCTGTCAATTAAAAATAGCAAATGGCTAAAATTTTAAAATACAGTCTGAAAGTCTGTTTCTTATAGGTGAGTTTAACCCATTCATAGTGATGGTGCTCACTAAGCTTGGATTTGCTCCTCCATCAGTCTGTGTTCTCTAAGTGTTTTCTAATTGCTTCTCCCTCCCTCAAATTCATGCTTTCCCATGTCTTCATTAGCTTTTCTTTATTCTTTTTTAAAAAAATACATTCCCTTTGTTTGAAAATTATTCATCTATGAATGTTTTCTAGTAGTTATCATTACATTTTAACAGCTTTATTGATAAATAATTTTATCAATAAATGCCATAAATTTTACCCATTTAAAGTGTACACTTCAATAATTTTTAATATATTTACAGAGTTATGCTACTATCCATAATCTAACATTAGGACATTTTTATCACCATAAAAAGAAATCTTGTATCCAATAACAGTGATTCGTTATCACTCTTCCCACCTCTTCCACCCTCCAGTTCTGGACAACCATTAATTTGCCTTCTAATTTTCTATAGATTTATCTATTCTGGACCTTTCATAATAATGGAATCTTACAATATCTGGTCATTTGTGACTGGCCTCTTTCACTTAGCACACTGTTTTTGAGCGTCATCCATGTTGTGGCATGTATCAGTACTATTTCATTCCTTTTTGTTATTGAAATGTATTCCATTGTATGGATATACTACACTTCAACTGTTCGCCAATTGATAGACATTTGGATTGTTTCCACTTTTTGGCTATTATGAATAATGCTTCTACAAACATTCATGTGCAAGTCTTTGTGTGAGCATGTATTTACATTTGTTTTGGGTGCAAACCTGGGAGTGGAATTGCTGGGTCATTCAGTAGCTCTATGTGTAACCTTTTGGAGAAATGCCAAACTATTTTCAAAGTGGCGACACCATTTCACATTACCACCAACAGTCTATGAAGGTGCCAATGCCTTCACATTCTCACCAATACTTGCTATTGTCTATCTTTTTTATTGTAGCTATTGTGGGGCATATGCAGTAGCATCTCCTTGTGGTTTTGATTTTTATTTTCCTAATGATTAATGATGTTGAGCATCTTTTCATGTGCTTATTGGCAATTAAATGTCTTTTGTGGAGAAATGGCTATTGAAATCCTTTGCCCATTATTTTGTGTTATTTATCTTTTTATTATTTAGTTGTAAGGGTTCTTTCTATATATTCTGATACAAGTACCTTATTAGATATATGATTTGCAAATGTTTCCTTCAAATCTGTAGGTTTTCCTTTTACTTTCTCGATGGAATCCTTTGAAGCATAAAATTTTCTAATACTGTTGACCTCAACACCCTAACAATGATCTCCTTTTTCAGTTGTGCTTTTTATGACATATCTATAATAAGAAATTATTGCCTAACCCAAGGTCATGGACATTTACTCCTATGCTTTCTTCTAAGAGTTTTATAGTTTTAATTCTTACATTAGGTCTTTGCTTCACTTTGAATTCATTTTTGTATATGGCTTGATATAGATTATCTAAATTATTTTTTTACATGTGAATATTCAGCTTTCCAAGCACCATTTGTCAAAAAGACTATTCTTTTGCTATTGAATCATCTTGGGCTCCTTCCTTAAAAATCAATTGGCCATAAGTATTAGGGTTTATTTTTGACTTTTCAATTTTATTACATTGATTTATGTCCACCCTTGTGCCAGTACCACATTGTCTTGATTACTATAGCATTGCAGTACTTTTTGAGATTATGAAGTACAAGTCTTCCAACTTTGCCCATTCCAAGATTATTCACACTATTCTGGGTTCCTTGTATTTCCATATAAATTTTAGGATCAGACTCTTAAGTTCTGTAAAAAAATGATGTTTTGATAAGAATGACTTTGAATGTATAATCAGTTTGGGGAGTATTATCATCTTAATATTAATTTTTCCAACTCATTAGAGTTGGGTATCTTTCCATTTATTTAGATATTCTTTAATTTCCTTCAATAATGCTTTGTAGCTTTCTAGTGTACAAGTCTTACATTTCTTTTGTTAAGTTTATTCCCAAGTACTGTCAATGGAATTTAAAAAATTTTTATTTTCAACTTAGTTTTGGCTCATTATTGAAATATAATTTATTTTTCTGTGCTGGTCTTGTACTTTGCAACCTTGCTGAATTTGTTTATCAGTTCTAACAGCTTTTTTAGTAGATCCCTCAGAATTTCTTTTAGATGCCGTATCATATCATTGATAATAGACATAGTTTGATTCGTTTCTTTCTAATCATATGCCATTTTTTCTTTTTTTCACCTAGTTTTCCTGGCTAGAACCTCTAGTACAACACTGAATAGAAGTGGAAAAGTGAACATTTTGTTTTGCTCATGATTTTAAGGATAAAAAAATTGAGTCTCTCACTATTAAGTATAATGTTAGCTGTTGGGTTTTCTTAGATACTCTATAAAGATTGAGAATGTTCCTATCTACTTTTTAAATTTTTTTTAGTGTTTTTTATCATAAAAGGATGTTAGAGTTTCTCAAATACTTTTTTGGTGTGCGTTGTATTGTCATTCAATTTTGTCTATTGTTTTATTAATATGGTCTATTAAATTGATTGATTTTTAGATATTAAATGCACCTTGTATCTTGTTGGGATAAATATCACTTGGTCAGGGTGTATGATTCTTCATATATTTTTCTGAATTCAGTTTGCTAATGTTTGAGTTTGTTTTGTTTTGGATGTTTTTTGAGAATTTTTGCATTTACATTCATGAGGGACATCAGTCTTTAGTTTTCTTGTGATGTCTCTATCTAGTTTTGATTTGGCATTCAATTTTTAACATCTATTTAAACATAATTCAATATAATTTTATAAAAACTACCATATGAATATTTATATTCTGTCCTTTTGTAAACAAAACATAAATATTAGTGTAACTTTATGTCTTCTTTTCCCTCTCAATTCATATACCAATCTGTAATCTACATTGAAACAATCAATACTTACCATTAAACCATTAGGCTTAATAGTAAGTTTTACTAATTTGTTATTTCTTATACTTGTCATTGCTTCATACATCTCATCTTCTAACTTCTGGATTAATTTTTTTTCTTCCTGTAGAACATTCTCTAGTGATTATTATTATTATTTTTTCAGACAGTGTGGGATATATGTGTTCTGAAGTCATGTATCTCTGTATTTTGCCTTTAATCTCTGGTAAGGTTTTGGCTGGCCCTGGCTTGAAGTAATTGTCACCTAGAACTTGTTTTCATTTTCATGTAGCTAAGGCAATAGCTGACAGTAATCTTACTGTTCTTTTGTAGGTAAATTTTCTTTTCTTTTTCTGGATGGTTTTGTTCTGATTTTATTTCCTCACTGGGATTCTGACATTTCTATATAGGGTTGTTTGATTCTTGCTGAGAAATTTCAATCTGTGGAGTCTTATCTTTAGTTCTGAGAACTTTTATTCTTTCTTTAAAGAGTCATTTCTTCTGGAACCCTTATTAGGTGGATGTTAAAATCTGGAATTTGTTTCTGTGATTCTTAACCTTATTTTAGCTACTCCAATCTCTTTATTCCTTTTTGCCTCATCCTGTGAAAATTCCTGGGCTCAATTTTCCGGGCCACTAATATCCTTTTCAGTTGTGTTCATTCTACCAAACAACTGACCTGCTGGGGTTTTCTTTTCTTTATATTCATTGACTAAATTCTTAATTTTCATCATCTCTAGTTGATGTTTAAGCACTCTAAGTCCTTTTAGATCTGTGTACTTTTAATTTTCCTTATTCTAGAGTCATGTTCTGTTTACTATCACCCCTCTGATTTCCTAGGTATGTAGGATCTGAATTTAAGTTTGTTGTTTCTCTTTCATCATGTTGGCTCTCCTCAAATTAGTTGGTGAGAAGGGGTTATATATACATATTTGCAGCTGAGTTTTTCTGTTTGGCTCTGCTCTTTTTGTTCCCACAGCCTGTCTGGGAGGAGGAGTGGACATGCTTCCTGGATTGTAGCCACCCTTTTTCACTGAGGTTTGGGAAGTGGTGGGACCTGTGTCTGCATAGCTTTGTGTGGTGACAGTGTTCTGAGTGTGAATGCTTTCTTTTGTCCGGGGTTTAGCCACCTGTGGTCCTGTCCTGCTGTAGTTCTCTAATCCAAATTCCTACATCATTTCTTCTGGAAGCAAGCACCCCTGCAGAGGCCAGCTGACCTAGGGGGAGAGAATGAGGGTCAGATTGATGCCCCCATTGCATTAGATGAGTCACCCCTGCATCTCCTCTTCTTTTCTGTATCCACCCCTTCTGGGCAAGTAGAACATTTTTAATAGAACTTACTTTCTCTGTGCCTTTTGGGTTTTAGTTTCCCTTTTGATACCCATCCCACCTGCTCTCTGCTTTTAATAAATTCTTCATTGCTTCTGGACCCACTGGGGGCTTTACTTCTTGGTTTGGGAACTCATTTAGGATTTTTTTTCCTTTATATTTTTTCTATAATTTCAGAGATTTGGTATGGGAGAGGCCTCTGTAGCAAAGTTCAGATTGTCATCTTGTAACAAAAATTTTTGGCCTTTTATTGGCCACCATCGTCCTCCTTGTTCAGTTGAATCCTCTGGTTGAAAGAAAGAGGCAGAGCGAGAGAGAGAGCAAGAGAGATTAACTGGGAAAGCTGTTTGAGACTCATTTGAGGAAGGGGCATCTCTTAAGTAGCCCAGGGCTGCTTATTCTATTTACATGCCCTGTTATGACAGGTGCCACCTGCAGCAAAGGAACAAAGAGGGCATTTTTCAGAAGGATGGGACCGAATCAGAAGCTCAGCTATAGACGAACCCCAGCTGGCTTCTTTTTCCCCTGTCAATAAAAGGCCCTGTGCTTGCACTGTGGCTCCATTATCCCCTGCAGCATCAAAGCCAGGACAAGCCTCTCCTATCTCGGGTGCTGACTGCAGCTCTTCAGCTGAGCTCTGCTTCCTGGTGCAAACGCAGCTGCGCACACTCCACATGTTCTTTGAGTGTCTTCTCATTCTTTCTTCGGACTCACCAAGGGCAGCAGAACATTTCTTCCAAGTGAGTTGTTTTAGAGCTGAGCCAGTGTCTGAATTTCCAGCTTGCCACATTATTATTCTTTTCCTTTAATTTCTATATTTTTTAATTTTCTTTTTTAGATATGCCAAAACAGTCATCATTAAGCATTCATTGAGGAGATGCTATATGCAAATCCCTTGAATAAAGAGAAGGTCAAGAAATCCATGATATTCCCAAAGAGTTATCCAAGGTAACCCTGGAGGAAGAGAACCCACGAATGAAGAGGGCGTCTATAGTTCTGGCTGTATAAAAACCTTTTCCCATCTTCTGGTAACAGCCTTCCATCTTCCTTTGAGGAACTACTCCTGCATTACTCTAGCAGGTAAATTCATAGAGACCAGTAATCCTAGAGCCTTGCTAGTCATATTATCTGGGCCTGCTCAGGCATGTTCTCCACAGTGGTGACCAGGAGTTAGTCCTGGAGGCTGGCAGGCGACAAGCAGAAGTTCAGAAGCTATGGACTGAAAATTTGTGTCCTCAGAAGATTCACATGTTGAAATCTAACCCTCAATGTCATGATAAATGGGAGGTGGGCCATTGGGGGAGTGTCATTAGGTCATGAAGGTGGAGCCCTCCTGATGGTATTAGTGTCCTTAGAAGAAGAGGCCAGAGAGCTAGCTTGCTCCTTCTACCCTATGAGGATACGAGGAGAAGTAGGCAGTCTGCAACCAAGAGGAGACCCCTCAGCAGAACCTGGCCCTGCTGGCACCCTGAGGGCAGGCTTCCCAGCCTCCAGAATGGTGAGCAATACATTTCTGTCATTTAACCCCTGCAGTCTGTGGTACTTTGTTACAGCAGCCCGAACTGACCAAGGCAAGCAGTGGGAAAGAAACTCTGTCCTTTGGGTTCCTTCAGCTGTGGTGATGTAGACCCAGAGCAGCTACTACACCTGAACCTGTCTTCTCCTATCCATTTCACAAGAAAGACCCTGACACTTCATCCACATGAGAGGAAATGAGACCAATAGTAGGGAAGAAGAGACAAGAGAGATTGGGGCAGAGGGAGAGAGAGAGAGGGAGAGAAATGTCTGATGAAATTCTACAAGGTCCTGTGTCCACCTAAATCACTTACTTTGCCCCATCCTCTCTCTATTCAATTGCGCCTGATCTAAACATTCCTGATCCTGTGTCTTCTACAAGCCCTCACAAATGGTTTACAACACAGAGAAAATTCTATTAGCTCCTTCTCTTGTTTTGTTCTGAGGAAATGCCCAATCATCCTCCAAAGACTGGCCCAAATAGCTTCAACTCCTCCACATAAAAGTTAGAATCTCTGGCCTCCTACCTCCACCCAGAGCACTTTGAAAAGATTTCTAGATAGCCTCGTAACAATGGTTTGTCTCTACTCTTTCCCATCAGACTGTGGGTTCCTTGAGGACAGGGACTGTGTCTGATTCACCCTAAGTTCATGGAGCCCCAGGTAGGGCTGGTATAAGGCAGCGTCTCAGTCGCTGTGCGCTGTCTAGGACTGACTTTCCCATGAGAGGAAGGAGGCGCGTGTACGGGTACAGGAAGGAAGGTGATTCTTCTAGAAAGAGGACTTGCTCGCGCCATCAACCACCCACCTCTGTGTCCTGAACCTTTTCTTTGCCAGAAGTTTTCTGACCCCCATGGTGAGTGAGAACAGAATTCCCTGTTGGGGTGGGGGAATGGCTGCCTTCGTGCAGCAGGAAGGCATTTAAGGGGGTCTTGCATGTCATCTGAGGGGCTTAGTTTTTACACAGAGTAATAGGGAGCCATTGGAGGGTTTTAATCAAGGGCATCTGAGTTATGGTCAGGTAATTTAGAAAGACCATTTGGCAGCAGTGCAGAGACGGGGCTGGGCACAAATTGAGGCTCAAGAGAGTTGGGGACACGAAGGGGCTGCTTTGGTCCAGAAGAGGGGTGATAAGGACTTGGGCAGTGGCATGGGGGTCGACAGAAGAGGACAGAGGTGTTCCTTACCATCCCCTTGTTTGCTCCCTATAGCTGAGCCGCTGAGACCTCCACTCTGGTGGCCTTCCACCCTGGCTTCTCTCATTCTTTTCTGTCGTGTCTGCAAACCCCATAATACCTCTAAATCAAGAGAGAATGATGCTTTCTCCTTGCCCCATAGAATCCTTGGGAGTTACATCTTTGTCAGCACTTCTGCTTCCAGCTCCCGTCAGATCGGTTAATGTTTCTTTTATGAAGCGAGGACACCTGATTTCTGTCAGCGCAGGGCTGAAGACTGCCTTGTCAGCACCGTCTTCCTGGCCGGTCATATCGAATAGACAGGAAGAAGCAACCAAACCGGCGATCAGATTCCAAGACGATGATGCCAGGGCTGCACGCTGTTTGGGAAAGTGGAGTTAGATGGAACTGAGGGGTCCCACAGTGCTAGGATGACGGCGTTACTCAGTTGGAGCTGCCTGTTCTGGCAGTGTGGGAATAGCTGGGGACCAGCTGCTGGCCATTCAACCATCAAGACAAGCCCCATTCCCTTATAGGGTCTCAGTTTCTCATCTAGAAGATGTCAGTGACCACTGAAGGTCTCTTCCAGGTTCCTCTAGTCCAGAATAAGGGATACAAGGGGTCTCTTCCTTGCTACCACCCGCAGTAGTCCCAAGAGTTAAAGCAGCCTTCACTCGAACTTGGTACATTTATGCACTCACTCATTTAGCAAATAAATTAATCATTCATTCATTCAGCAAATAACCACTCAGTCCCTACTCCTTGCCAGGCCCTTTGCTCAGTGCTATGAACAGATACAAATAAGAGGCATCTGGCTCTCCAGAGCTTGCAATCTACAGAGAGATCCAGCAGTGAAAACTGATAATCACCACACAGTGACAAAGTCAGGAGAAAGTACAGAGGGGACAGAGGCCAGCGTCATTACCAGAGGATTTTGTTTTATTCATCCTCTTAGCATCTGGCACTTTTCCTGGAACACAGGTTGGGTTCTCAATGAATGAAGTGACATTTTAGCTGGGCCTATGAATGAATCAGTTTCCCAGGTAGGGAAGGTAAGGGGGAAAGCATTACAAACAGAGAGAACTATATAAATTGTGACTCGTAAGCATGAAAGAACTTGGCTGTTCTTGAAGAGTGAGCTGTTCTGCATTATAAGGTGTCATGAAGTCCCGATAAGAGATGAGCTTGGGGAATCAGATGAAGGGAGGGTTGTGTCCTGTCAGAGAACTTGACATTATCTGGGACAATGGGACAATGTGGGACCACTGAAGATGCATCACAGCAACTTTTGAAATGTTCTCCTAGGCTTGATGTGAGTAGGCTCAGGTGGGAAAGGCCCCGAGTAGGGTGTCTCATCAGAGACCTTCAAGATGGTGTTACTCTTGGCTCAAGTCCACCTTTGGCTTCAAATCTGCATTGTTCTCTATCTCAGCAGAGCAGGTTGAGTCATTGACTCCTGGAGACCCTGATGTGGGAGAAGTAGATTATTTGAGGAGCATCTTGATCTAAGCAAATCCCTACAGATTGACTGTATCAAGAAAACAATTGACATCTGTTCCATCAGCCACCAAAGGAAACAAGAAAGTACTAACCATTTGAAATTCCAGACTCATCTTTCCCTAACCTTTCCTAACCTAGACCTGTTTGATTAGGCAGAAACTGCTTTTATCACTATCTTAAATGTAAAAACACCCAAAGCATTTTGGCTAAAACCAAACCAAAGTAACCACAGAGAAGTGACCTCATAGAGAAGCTCAGATTTGTTTAACTCCTGATTGTTTGCAGTGTGGAGCGAAGGATCAGAGAGGGGGAAGGATCTGGCCAAGGTCCCCCAGCAAGTTAGTACCTGCAGGTGAGTCAGAACCAGGGTCTCCTGGCTGCCAGGCCACTGGGTTCCCCAATGTGACCCAGGGCTTCCGGCTGTACCTCCCAAAGGAAGAGTTAAATCAGTCTTGTTTTAGTAAGCACAGGTGGTCAGGCTTTCTGAGAAGATGAAGCCAAAATTTCCCCTGAGGCTCAGCCTACCAAAGCTTTACCATCTTGCTGACTCATTTCCTATAAGTAAGGTCACTTCTCTGTTTAAAAACCTTGCATGCCCACAGGGGAAGTTCAGACTGCTTGGAGTAGCATCCAAGGCCTTTCATCTCTGTGTCCTTCCTCAGGCTCGGGACTCATCTCTCACTGTAACCCAGATATACCCGGGGCGGCACACCAGGGGTTTTCAACCTCACCTAGGGAATTTTTTAAAAAGTGTGTTGATGCGCAGAGTGTACCTCCGTAGATGTTGGGGCGTTGGCTTCAGGCATCTGTATGTTCAAAGTCTCCCTCTGTAATTCTAATGCTCAGCTAGAGTGGAGAGCTGCTACTCACCCACAGTTGACTATTCCAATTATCCCAATCTGCTTTGCCCTCTCTAAGGCCTTGGGCAGGGCTTCCTTACTCTGCCCTACCCCACTTCTCCACTTGGCCCTCTCCAAAGCCCCCCGCCCCCAAGATGGACACCCCTTTAGCTTTGGACTTTTATACACACCCCCATCACAGCATTTATAGCCATTTGCTTACCTGTCTTTCTGGCATCCTAAGGACACTGTACTTGCAAGGAAGATGCTGTTCTATTTATTGTGTCTTCATTGTCAACATCACAGGACCTGACACCAAGTATGTGCTTAGGAAATAACTGTGGTCTGAAGAAGAGTTTCTGAACCCCAGAGTGACCTCTGCTCAGACAGCTGCCCACATTCCCAGGGCCGGGAGTTATAGGGTGGAGCTTCTGAGAGATCACCAAGGGTGCTGTGCTCTAGCAATTGGTCCTTTCCATATTCTGTCTCTAAGGAAGGGAAATGATCAAAGAACTTCTTCTTCTTACCTGCAACTGAAAATGGGAGGTTGATCTCCTTTTTGTGTGGCTGGGAAACCCCATAACTAAAAAAGGGAGGTGAGAATATTTGCATCCAGAGAGATCTTGATTGGAAATCGATTGCCCTGATGCTGTAGGACTCCCATGACAAGTTACTGGAAGTGTGTAAACCTCTGTAAATAACATTCACAGAGTTCAGCACGTTCCCTGCTATATAGCTAATTCTCCGCGCGGGTGGATTCCCTACCTTCCAGAAGAAATGATTTCGGAATCCCCCAGTGTTCCTTCCAGTTATCTTCTCCGAAGTGTGTTTATCCTCTGCTGTCTGTCTCGTTCTCCCTCCCTCCTTCCCCCTCTTCTGACCCTTTCCTTTTTCCTTCTCCTCCACACTTGCTTAGACTGTATTCCAACTGGTTCTCTTAGGATTCATACCAGGAGAAGGAGTGAATGCTTTTGGCACCATTGCTTTCCACGTGTCATTCATGGACAAGATGAGCACTTCCAGCAAGAATGAAGCAAGTTGGGAGGAAAGAC